CTGCCTTAGCCACCTGAGCCACAGGGGCCAAGCCTAAGGTCACATATCATACTGATTTTTAAAAAAGAAAACTCAAAGGAAAAAGGATATACCAATAAGACTGAGGCGTGGGAAAAACAGAATCTAGCTCTTGTCATGAAAAAAAGTTTAGGCTCAGCGCCTGTGGCTCAAGTGACTAAGGTGTCAGCCACATACACCTAGGTGGCAGGTTCAAATCCTGCCCAAACAATGACGGCTGCAACCAAAAAATACCTGGGCGTTGTGGTGGGCGCCTATGGTCCCAGCTACTTGGGAGGCTGAGGCAGGAGACTCGCTTGAGCCCAGGAGTTGAAAGTTGCTATGAGCTGTGATGCCATGGCCCTCTACCCAGGGGGACAGCTTGAGGCTCTGTCTCAAAAAAAAAATTTAGCAGTATTTTTTCTGAATAAAGCAGTTGTTAAATCCTGATGCACTGTGTCATATGTGAATACACATATGACACAAACACATCCTAGGGCCAGGCACAGTGGCTCACGTCTGCAGTCCTAGCATTCTAGGATTACTTGAGCTTGGAAGTCGGGAGACCAGCTTGAGCAAGAGTGAAACCTCGTCTCTACTAAAAATAGAAAAACCAGCCAGATGTTGTGGCATTTGCCTATAGTCCCAAGACTTAGAAGTTGCTGTGAGTTATGATGCCATGACACTCAACTCCAGGGGCAACAGAGTGAGAATCTGTCTCAAACAAAACAAAATAAAACAAAACAAAAAACGCTGGGCATTGGATCAGCTACTCGGAAGGCTGAGGCAAGAGGATCACTTGAGCCCAAGAGTTTGAGGCTGCTGTGACATATGATGTCATGGTACTCTACTGAGGGTGATAAAACGAGACTCTGTCTCCAAAAACAAAAACAAAAAACATCCTAAGTACTATGTACAACACATACTTTTTCAATTCTGAATACCTAATATGTTAAAGAACAGCATTTTTCATAAATTGACTTTTTTGGGAAAAATATAGGAAAACCATCACTATAGTTCCTAAAACAGTAAAAATCCTAAACTATATATAGAGAGAAAATAATTTAAAAATTGGGTACCTGTGACTCAGGTGAAGGTAGTGAATTATCTCATTTGATTGTTCATAGTCAGTTATAGATTATACTCCTTGTTCTACTCTTTCCCCTTCTCACTCATGCACTTGACTAGTCTTAAAAAATAAAAGAAAAACTGAGTACATAAATTCAATGAGAATGTAACAATTAACAATGAATATTATATAAAATGAAGAAAAAGATGGCTTGGCACCTCTAGCACAGTGGTTATAGTGAAAGCCACATGCATCGGGTTCAAACCCAGCCCAGGCCTGCTAAAAAGCAATGACAACCGCAACAAAAAAATAGCCAGGCATTATGGGAGGCACCTGTAGTCCCAGCTACTAGGGAAGCTGAGGGAAAAGAATCGCTTAAGCCCAAGAGTTTGAGGTTCCTATGAGCTGTGACGCCACAGCACTCTACCAAGGGCGACATGGTGAAACTCTGTCTCAAAAAAAAAAAAAAAAATTTAAATTCATCCAGTGTTATAAATCCAAATCTATAGCTCTAAGTACATGTGAAGAGATTACAGAAATATAAAAACAGCCAATTTCTAAGTAGAGAAAGGTAGTAAGGTAGAAGACGCAACCCCAATCAGCACTTGGCACACTCAACAGTTTCTCAAATGGCTTGACTCTTTGAAAAAGAAAAACATGTGTCCCATCTCTGAATATAAAAATGGCATTTTTGCTAGAAAAGCAAGCTCTACTCACCTTGAACATATTCATTTTTAATTCTTCCTTCTGGGGAAGCACAGAGCCCTAAGAAAGCAGAACTGGAAAAGAAGAGAGAAGTAAATGGAAACGGTACAAGTATGTTGCTAATCCCTGTGGCTGCTCCTAGTAAATTAGCAAAAGTACTGGTTCCTTGGGATGGCTGCAGATATGTGGCTTATGAGTAAAAAAATGACATGGATCTCAGATATCCAGCTTAATCCCTTCAGTACACAAGCTGCCCAACCACACTTGGTGGCCCCATCACTAGTGTGCCTGTACTTCCACAATAGTAATTCTTATTCTGGGTATGGTATACATTAAGACAATATGTAAGAGCAGACTCTGAAACCAATATACATGGATTAAAATCCTGGCAGGGCTACTCACTACTAGTCACCTGGGGGAAATTATTAACATCTCTATACCTCACTTCTGTCACCTGCAAGTAGAAGAGAAAAATAGCCATACCGACCTCGTGGGATTATTTCAAGGTAGAAAGCTCTTAATACAGCCAGTTTCTTTGCCACTGCAATAAGCAGATGGTAGTCTCTAGTTTGAAATTATCCTTAAAAATGTGATTTCTACTATTAGACTATTTTAAGACACCTGGAGTTCACAGGTGGTTGTTGTCATGTGAAAGTACATGGGACATTACAAAAGTTTTGAGGCTGGGTGCCCATAGCTCAATGGTTAGAGTGCTGGCCCCGTGCACTGGGGGTGGCGGGTTCAAACCTGAACTGGGCCTGCTGAACAAATAAAAAAAAAAAAGTTTTGAGATACACAAAAATTAAGAAATGTAAAATCTGCCTGGATGGAAACAAATGAAACCCTCCCAGCAACATCTGTAAGCCAAGCAAGTTGAAACCTGTGCTGGTGAGTCAGAAAGGATGCTGCCTCCATCTTTTTTCTTAAGGCTGCACAGTATAGCAGGATGAAGGAAAGAAATGGAATAGGAAGGGAGGAGAGGGGGGAGGTTTGATAGAGGGAGGGTAAACAGCGGGACCACACCTATGGAGCATATTGCAAGGGTACAAGTCAAATCTATCAAGTGTAGAACATAAATGTCTTAACACAATAATCAAGTAATTGGGGCAAAAGCTGTATTAATTAGTTTGATGTGGGTAGCGCCTGTGGCTCAAGGAGTAGGGGGCTGGCCCCATATACTGGAGGTGGCAGGTTCAAACCTGGCCCTGGCCAAAAACTGCAAAAAAAATTAGTTTGATGTAAGCACATCAAATTGTATTAAAAAAATCAACACATTGTACCCCACATATGCATAAATGTATTCATGATTTAATAAAAAAATAATAATAAAAAAGGATGCTGTCAACTATGTTTCTTAGAAGTGAAATAATAGACAATAATACAGTCTCAAAATTTTCATATGTGACATAGATTATACCTCTGAAAATCTCTTGCTGTTTTTCTAATAATTTACTCCCTCAACACTGAACTAATAAAACCTGACACCACAAGTAAAATCAAGTTTAACAGTTCATACCAAATTTGAATAAAGACAGGAATCCAAGTCCATGCTGTTGTAAATTAAGTAATGTATAATAAGTAGGTGAGAACAGAAAGTTCCTCTTATAGAATTAACACATAAACTTATAAATGAAGAATGAGAGACAACTAGAAACCCATCAATGGATGCTAAAAATTGGTAAGTTCGATGAGGAATAAGATAGTTACACAGTCTCAAAGTATTAACTATAAAAGGAAAAAAGATAACCTGGTAAGATACCTTATCCAAAGGGACAAAATTCCATTAGGCTGGGCCTTGATCTGTCTCAAAGACTGTATTGAGAAAACAAATTTAAATGTGAACTGTAGATTAGATAATAGTGTGTTACTGATGTGATTAATTTCATTTTGATCACTACCTCTAGCTTGCTCTTAAATGCTTCCGCAAAAAGGCAAAAACAAAATAGAAGTATGATGAAGTTGTGAAAGAGTGAAAAAAATAGCCCTGACAGCTAATAGTAGCAACAGCCAGAACTTGGTGTTTTCAATTTATCTACAAGAATCAGACAGGGCCATTCAATGATCATGGTAAACAAGAAAAAACAAGACTGTAACACAAAGACAAATACATTCTGCAAAGGCAAAAATAACTAAATGACTATCTCTTCCAGCTAGCACAAGTGACTACTTTGCTGAAAGTGACAAATACAGTCTTATCTTGTTTTCCTACCGCTTATGTAAAAATTACTATAATTGCTCTACTTATTAACAAGTACCCAATCCAGAACAAAGTCTCACTGCCTTTAACTTTCCCCAACTCAACTAATACAAGCCAAAACCCCACAACCCCTCCTAATTAGCTCTAACCAAGATATCCTATGCATGATTCCCTGTGGTGCGTGGGTGTCTTTGGTTACAGGTATGTTCCTGATGGTATGTGATTTATGGTCACCAACAGAGCAAATACGCAAAATGTAAACAATGGGTGAATCTGGGTTAAGAGCATATGAAACTCCTTATGTTATTTTTTGCAACTTTCCTGTAAGCTTAAAATTAAATAAAATATAAAAAGAAACCACAAAGTAGTCATAGTAATAACAACAGTAATAATAA